CAGAACATTTTAATTTATATTTCTAATTGGTATCAGCTGTTTCGTCTGTCTTGCCAAACCCATGGCTCTGGCACTGCCACGGCTCAGAAATGGCTGCCACCAGGTCACTGCCAGTGACCTCCCGTTGTCACTGACCAGCTAGACTGAGAGGCCAGCCGTGGACCCGGCAAGCTGGGGTTCACTCGCACATACAGGAGAAGGCAGTCGGGTGACCTGAAGGTTGGGCAGACAGGGCTTCCAATTCTGCTTTGGCTTATTGTCTTTGTGATCTTCTAGAGATTGCCAGCTTAACTTCCGGAATGCCGGAGATGTAACTCTGGAAATGTAAAATGGAAATGATGGTACATTTCTTGTGAGGAAGCTGAAAACTGGTACACGGTAGATCCACAGTCATCTGATATTCCTCCCCTCAGACAGAATGTGAGTCTTGGTCCACATACTTGGCTTATAGTTTTAGTGTAAAGACTAAAAAGCAGGGTTACTGAGTTATGAGTTTCTTGAGTGAGAGATTCTCCTGCCCAGCCTGGTCCATCTGGTCGAAGCGCAGTACTTAGCACAAGGCAGGTGTGCAGACAGCGTGCTGATTTGTCTCATCTGAGGATTTTCCAGTCCCCTGGACACATGGCTGCAAATGGGTGCTCTGAGGCCACTCATCCAGAGTCACGGAACTCGTGTTTTGCTTTCAATTTCTTGAATTTTTACTTGAATGACTCTGTGCTGTTCAGTAACTCCCTAGTCTGCAGTTCTCCAATGGCTTACGAAGTGCTCTCAGAAAGACATTAAAAGTTTATCGAGGAGTAAAACTTAGGCTAAGCAAAGTGCTTAAAAACCAGACAAAAGATGTGCAATTTAAAGTGTTTGCTCAGCTTACAAATTCGATGGAGATCACTTGCTGATAAGAAATGTCTCAAGAAAAATTAGGTCAACTGATTCCATTCTCTCTCTTTTTCCAGCACCTTCCACACAGTTTGATTAGGTGTGTATAAAAATCATAATAATAGCTAACGCCTATTAGCTATGAATAGCTGAGATATCAGGAGCTCCTACTATGTACCAGTCCCCAACGTAGTGTTTTTGTGTTTAACTCATTTGTCCACCTTATGTGGCGGGTGCTATTATTGTCTCTGTTTTACTGGTAGGAAATCAAAGCACAGAAAGCTTAGACAACCTGTTCAAGGTTACACAACTACTCCATTGTGTAGGCAGGATTGAAACAGAAGTGGTCAGCTTCTAAGCCTACACACCAGGAAGAGCCAACATTGAACATTGTGTCTGAACAACACGAGGCACCAACATGCACTGGAAAGGCAGACCTTGTCACGTGCTTCTTTTAAGAGGTTCAGCTGCATGTTTCAATGCCAACTGGTCATTCCCTTCAAATAAAGCCAAAAATAAGAGAAACTGTACTTCTTAGGCAACACAAAGCTATAGATAAGAAAAATATTGAAAATATCTATTAGCATTATCAAATATTAGATTCGTATTTAATATATGGATATTTATTTGAATTATATACTTATAAATCATTTGTATATGTACATACATATGTGTATGTATGCATGTATGTACCTGTACTTAGAGGGGCATATATTGATAAATATATATGTGTGTGGTATATAGGACAAGCCTCAGACATCTACATATTCATCATTATAGACTGTGGATGTGTGAGTGATATAACTCAACCTAGTTTAAATATGTCACTAAAGGGTACTCTTGCAAACACCTGTTTTACCTCTTCCCTTGTCCTGACTTCTCATTGTAGCTATCTCCCCAAGGACAAGTTCTTAAAAGCTTCCACAAGCTTTTTGCAGGTGCAACCTAATATTTTCTAGGTCTCTCTCATGTCCCATCTGTGGGCATCTCAGGAAGAATTAGCTCTCACAAATGAAATCTGGGGAGGCAGACACCCTGTGTAACGCCCTGACCGGCGAGACCAGCAGCCAGCAGACAGATGCTTCCCCCTTTCTGACTCAGACTAATCGTTCTGAGATACATTTCCTAAGGTTTCCCAAAGGCTCCCAGTATGAAGGGACCAGTTGTCCGTGGGGCAGCCAACTTCTGGTGCAGGCTGGTGTTGGGTTTTCCTCCTTTCTGTTTCATTCCCACACCCCTAACTTCTCCCTGCAACCACGTTCTCAAATAAACTACTCATCATAAACCCTCACCTCAGATTTCTGTTTGAGGGATACCAGGCTAAGACAGGCATGGTTCAACTTGTATTTTCTCTACTCAGTGATTTACTTTATTGCTAAAATTTAATAAAAATTGGGACTTTGATCATAATGTCATACATTGCATTGCCTGTCAGAGGTCATCGTTGTAGTTGATAGCTTTTTAAAAAATAAGAACTTTCTGGGGTAAAAGGTTTGCAGGCTGAGAAGCATGCATTGCTGGTCAGCACTGGTCTGGTGATCAGAGCTGGTAAAATAATGATTTATGGCTCATGTGTCTGGAAAACAAATTGAAGTCATTCTCCCAACCAGATCCCAGTCTCAAGAAAAATTATATATTATCATATACAAGTCTTGGTGGGCACATTATGACTTTTAAAGGCCATGCATTTTATTAAATGCATAATATAGCTATGTGAAATGTTAATGGGGGTGATGTTGACTTATTCCATATTTTTTTAAAAATGAGGAAGATGATGGATGACTATTGAATGATATATTGTGATTCCACTGTCAAGTGGCAGTTTGTTTTGCTGATTCAAGTTCAAAATCCGAATACTGCTCTGCCTAGCAAGCCAACATTGCCATTTCCAAGTGGCTATCAATAATGTGGGCAGTGGAGAAGGGGAAGAGTGGGTCAGAATGTCACCTTGAGGCATCTTGGTCATCAATTGGTAGGATTCCCCGGAGCAGGGTTGCTCAGCTTAAGCACTACTGACATTTATTCTTGGCTGAACAACTTTTGTTGTGAGGAGCTGCCCTGTGCATTGTAAAGCACTTTAGCAGCATCCCTGACCTTGGCCAAAAAGATGCTAGTGGTACCGTCCACACCCAAGTCATGATGACCAGAAATGTCTATGGACATCGGCACATGTCCTCTGTGGAACGAAATCCCCCCTGTGGAGAACCATTCCCTTAGGGCAATGCACATGCTGATTGATAGGTGAGATGGGTAACCTTACAATACACAACAGAAGGGTTCAAGGTCTCAGAGTGAGGTTATTCTGTGAGGGCTTAGGCTGGATACCCAATGAGTGTTGAGTAGGCCAAGATGAGCTGCCTGAAACAGTGGTTCTTGAACTGGAGTGACACATCCGAGTTTCCCAGGGCACCTGCTAAAACAGATTCCCGGATCCCACCCCCAGCGCACCTGGTTCAGTCAGTCTGACATCCCGAGGAAGCAGATTTAGTAAGTCAGTCTAAGAACCTGCATTTCCCGCAGCCTCCCCCTTGATGCTGATGCTGATTCTGTGGGTTTGTGAGCCACCCTTTAACCAGCTTTGGGCTAGAAGTTAGAAGATGCTGGCTTTGGGCTAGAAGTTAGAAGATGCTGGCTTTAGGCAGTTCCAGTTTCAAGAAGAATGAGATAGATACGTAGATAAATAAGCAATAAAGGGAAGAGGGGCTAGGCAGAAATATATAAAGAAGGCGTTGGGACAAGGTCAAGAAGCTTTTGTGTTGAGAGTGGTGCTGTGGGGAGTTGCCCACTACTTATGCACGTTATGTGCCAATGGCACTCAAATCATCCTTTGAATGAATGAATAATGTATAACTCTGTGGGATAGAGAAGGGAGGGTGAATCACACACACTGGAAATTACAGCAGTGTTCAATCTTTGTTTGATTATTAATGTGCTATCTATATTACGAATTTATTTAGTTTTTCCTGTTCATTTCATTAATCCCTGGGGACCATGAGAAGCAAAATACTGTCCAAAAGGCAAGACAAAAAGAAAAACACATACATGCTGAGGTTACAGTGCCATTGTAACTTGAGTAAAGCAGGCATTTCCTTGTTCTTGCTTCCCATCCGCATGGCCCAGTTGAGGCTGTGCTCAGGAATTGCCGAGAGGAGTTCCAGCCATCTCCTGGCTCAGCGCCTCAGCCATTGCTTGTGCCCATGGGCAGACCAATGAGGCAGTTTATGGGCTCACAGGTGTTCATGTCTACGCTAATCTCATTTCTATTCATCGAGTCCCTCCCTAAGACCTTGGGTGGGCTAATGGCTCAAGCAATTCCAGTCATAATGCCCAGTTCCCCTGTTGCCCTATTAATTGGACCAACAGGTGAGCATGTGTGATAATTAGTTTTATGTTTCAACTTGGCTAGCTTGTGGTACCTAGTTATTTAATAAAACACTACTCTACGTATTGCTGCGAAGGTGTTTTGTAGATGTGGTTAACATCTAAAATCAGTTGACTTAAAGAAGGTTACCCTTGGTAACATGGGTGGGCCTCGTTCAATCAGTAGAAGGCCTTTGGAGCAAAACCTGAGAATTTCCGAAGAAGAAATCCTGCTCCAAGATTGCAGTCTTAACTCCTGCGTAAGTTCCCCCAGCCTGCCAGCCTACCCCACAAATTTCAGACCTGCCAGTTCCCACGACTGGGTGAGCCAGTTCCCTGAAATAACACTCTTCATATACAGACATATGTATGTATCCTACTTGCTGTTTCTCTGAAGCACCCTGGCTGATACAGTGTTTGATTAAGCAGAATCACTCAGAATCTTTTCTCAGTATATAAAAAATTTCCTTTCATCTCTGACTGAGAATCCTCGAGGATGTGGGAGAGCCCTGAGCCAACGCCCCCACGGAGTCATAGGGTGGGAGAGTGCGGGAGCCCCCGTCGGAGATGCAGGGAGCCCCGAGCTGTGCTCCAGGTCATCTGGAGGGCAGCCACAGCCGCTCGCTTCCTGTCACCGGTTTGTGTGGGTGTCAAACCTTCTGGCTTAAGCTAATTTGAAATGTGGTTCTGTCACTTTCAGCAAGTTTTCGGGATTGGCAGAAAGCCAGTACTGGAGTTTCAATTATGGTTTTGTTTTTTTTCAGTGAGTCTCTAGATACCATTTGGTGTGAGGATCGTGCATCTTTGGAGGTCACGGGGCGTGATGACCACACCGGCCCTGATTTCCCATGTGCCCGGGCATGCACTGTTTTTGTGCTCAAGCAAATGCTAAAGGTAAATGCAGACATCAGCCCTACCCTGTTGTAATGTACTTTGCTACCTTCAGCCCCTCTGCCTAAAGATGTCGCATTTATATTTTATGACCATACTGCTGTCACAGCTGGTTGGAGCAAGGCCGGATATCCTACCCAAAGAGATGCCTGCGTAGGTTGGCTAGCAGCCAACCATTTGTGGAGTCTGGTTCAGAAAGAGGGGTGGGCTGCTCAGCGTCCATTCTTGGGAACTTAGAGGCAGACTCCCAGGACCCTGAGTTAGAAGTAGGGGTAGATGGTAAGTCAGACTCATGATGCTGAGTTGAGGACATGGCAATTGAAAATGTATGAGTAGCCCTGGCTGTGTGGCTCAGCTGATTGGAGTGTGGTCCTGTGCACCAGAAAGTTTCGGTTCGAATCCCGGTCAGAGTACAGAACTAGGTCCCAGGTCAATCCCTGGTTGGGACGCACACAGGGGACAACCAACAGATGCTTCTCACAACAGTGTTTCTCTCTCGCACTTTCTCTCTCTAAAATCAACAAGTGTATACTCAGGACTGAAAAATAAAGTAATTTAAGAGATCACATGTATGTGTCTAACACATAAGGAAGGAGAGCAGGGGAGGAAGGTGCCAGTTGGTAGAGACCCATGTGGCAGATGTGCCCCGAGAGGAGGTGCCAGGGGAGCCGGGCTGCCCGCTGGGTGCGTCCCCGCCCCGTCCTCAGGCGCTGCAGCGATGCCGGGCTCCCCACCGGGCACCGTGAAGGCTCCGCTCCCCAGGTTGCTCTGAGGTGCATTTCCATGTGGTGCAACCAGACAGGCAAGGGTGTCCAGGACATTTAAACAGAAAACCAAACAAGAAACACTGTTGAGATGGCAACGCCTCTTAGTAGGACACACTTTCAAACTGTAAATTCCAAATCATCTGATAATGTTTAGAGAGAACATACAACTCTCAGAGACCCTACTTCTTTTTCTTTTTTAAGATTATTTATTGTTAGAGGGCAAGGGGAGAAGGAGGGAGAGAAACATTGATCCGAGAGAGAAACATCAGTCGGTTGCTTCTGGTATGCCCCTTAACCAGGGACGGAACCCGCAACCCACCCACACGTGTGCTGTGACCAGGAACCGAACTGGTGATGTTTCGGTTGGTGGGATGGCTCCCAACCCACTGAACCACACCAGTCAGGGCAACCTATTTCTTAATGAAGCCATTTTTTTCCCCTGCGAATACAGAACTGGTATTTTAGATAAATGTAACATCTATGCGTGTTCTTAGGTAATCCATAAATCTCACTTTTTGTGGCAGGAGACTTTGGAAGGCAGTGGGGGTGTATAGGGCCCAGCAGTAGTGATGGTTCTGCAGGTGCTTACACACTCCCAAATTCACTATGTTGCACCTCAATAAGGTGCTTAGAAAAATCTCAGTTTTACTGTTGTAGATTTTTTCAAAGGAGAAACAAACCACAAATAATTTCCTTTTTTAATGACGTCCAAATTTAGGTGCAATAGACACTGGCACACAGCTAAAGCCAGACATTTTTAAAAGAAGAAAATCCAACGCGGTAAAAGAGGAAGAAACGGTCCTAGTCTTAGCCGAACGGGAGAAAGGTGTTGAAAGAAACCGGGAAGGTTAAAAAAAATTATGCCAATTCTGTAACGTTGTGTTGTCACCTTTCCCTGAAATAGAAAAAGAAAATTATAATGTCAGCCCAGAGACGTAATCAGCGTCTCATCAGGGAAGAGCGTTACCTGGCACAGCCTGGCAATGGCCTTCGCAGCAGGTGCCCCGTGTCTGACCGGCTATATCCGTGAGATGAATGAGCACAGGTGCTGTAATAAGGCCACGGCATTTGGTTATGATAATGGCCCCTGACGGCCAAAGCGATCCATAAATTATAATTGAACTACAATTGCAAGCCGGCAGCATGCGACACAATTTATTCTAGTCAGCTCATTCTAAATTCAAGCCGGGAATCATCAGTGCAGGAGCCAGAAGACTGGGGGGCGAGTTCTCCACGGAATCCCGTCTCTACCTTCAGTTTTGTGATTTCTGATCGGGATGTGTCAAGTGTCGAGCTTTACAGAACTGTCGCTAGATAGTGGTCCCTCCAGTGGGCAGATTTGCCTAGAGTTTTAAAAGCAGGGGTCAAGCCCTGGCCAGTATGGCTCGGTTGGTTGGAGTGTCATCCTGTAAACGGAAAAGTCGGGGTTTTGATTCCCAGTCAGGGAACATACCTAGGTAGAGGGACATCCTCAACAGGGGCACTTATAACTGGCAGACGATCAATGATTCTCTCCCATTGATGTTTCTCTTCTCCTCTCTCCCTGTCACTTCCCCTCCTTCTAAGATCAGTGAGCATGTCCTTGGGTGAGGATAAAAAAAAAAGTAGGGTTCAAATGCTATAGTCAGCAAAAAGTCCCTGCTCACTTATTTATTGACTCCATAAACATTTCATAGTTACTCGAACAGTGTGTTGGGAGAGGCTGCACGAAGGCTCCCAGTCTTGGGAAGAGGGCAGCGCGCACCCAGGGCAGTGTGCAGGAGGGTTACGTGTGTGCTCACGGGGCTCTGTGGAGCCGCTCAGGAAGGCCTGTCTGAAACGGCCTGGCCGGGCTGAGGGCAGCTTCCTGAATTTCCTGGGAGATACACAAGCCACCCCGGTTTCTAAGCATTCCGTAACCAGTTACCTCCTTCCGGTACTTCCACGACTTCACATGTTTCTGCTGCTTTCACTTCTCTTTCAAGGGCCAACCCGAAGTTCCCTGCCTCTGTAAAAGCCTTGTCAACACTTGCAAATGGCACTTCCCAAATTAGGCCCACCTTGCTCATCATCATTGTACTGCCAGCACGGAGCTTACAACGTGATCTATTGCAGGTGCTCAGAGAATGTGAAGAGAGGAAAAATGAAAAGCATGAAGAGAGGGGGTGAAGGAGGAAGAGGGAGGAAGGAAAGAAGGGAGGAAGGAAGGGAGGAAGGAAGGCTGTCAAGTCCTGTCTTCTGGTGACAGCAGTTCTCAGGAATGGCACCCACCCCACCTTGCACACTGGCATTGCCCTGATACCCCAGGGACCCAAGATATTAGGTCAGAGCTGAGAGCACTGTAAACCGAGCAAGATGAGGCCCATTGGACTGTCCTTGTGCCCTCAGGGTGCGCAGTCCTAACTGACTAACAGAAGCAAACACCTCAGCAAGGGAAGAAACAGCCCCTCCTGCACCAGAGTGGAGCTTATGTACCTCTCACAGCACCAGGCCGACTTTTGGATTTCCTGTGGGACTTCCTCTTCCAGTGCGAAGGGGCAACCTCGGAGCTTCCTAGAGCAGCCTCAAAACAGAGAAGAAAGGCCCGTGACTGAACTGGAAAGCGTGAGTCACCCACACGTAGTAGATAGCAGTGCTAGCTCAGAAGCTCAGGTGTGCAAACAATATACTGCACTTCTTTATTTTCTAGAAGCCAGCCCTATTTTTAATCTAGCATCTCGTTTGTCCCAGGCCTGTTGTGAACGTGACCTGAGTCATCCTCAGGGTTAAACCTGGTGGATTCGTGGGTGACAGGTTGCAACATCTGGCCTTGGGTGCTGGGCACACCTGGTTTACACTGGAGACACCAGTCACCCCCGTCTGCTCGGATCCTGGGGTAAAAGCAGCTGCAGGCCTCTGCACAGAGCATTCCTTGCTCAGCTCTTAGCCTCTTGTCGGGATGCTACTGACCCCCCTGTGCCAGGGTGCCTGTCCTGCACCTTGTCTTCCTGCAGCCCAGGTCGCTGTGGGATATGGGAAGAACATGGGCGAGCCACCCAGGACCCCTCCTTTCCAGGTCACTCCGCCTCTGTCATCCAATACTGTTCAGCCCTTCGCTTTTCTGCAAATGCCTAGACTCTGTGTAAGCACTTATAGAGCACAGCCCAGGTACTGTTGCAGGTGACTCCTGCTCTCTGCCCCACCACATCCCGGACCGGTGCTGGGGAAGCTCTGAGGAATCAGCCTACAAGGACAGGGGAAGAGAAGAAGGAAAATGGGAGACAGTGAAGACAAATGAGATAGAGAATTCACGTTTCAAAGCACTGTCCAGTCACACCAAGTCCCCCAAGCCGGAGGTTCATGGTGGATGTCCACCCTCCCCCAGGTCATTGGCATCAGCTCATCCCCCAAAGGGGGTTTTGGTGCAGTCCCAGGCCTTCTGCCTGTGAAGACCCTCCCTTTAAACCTGCTGCCCTCAGCCCATGTGTACACTCTAGGGCTGGACCTGGCCAGGGGCCCAGGGGTGCAGACAGCAGCTACATTAACGCAGCACCTTTGTCGGCAGGCACTGCCATGGGGCCCTTGCTGGGAAAACCCGCCCTGTATACCAGCTGAGTCCCTGTGTTTATGGGCGAGTGAGCCTTCACCAGCTTCCCTGGGAAGATGTAGACAGTGTTCCCAGCCTCAGAAACACAGTTGTTGGCAGCTGCCCTTCACCCCGAGCTGACAGAGATGGGCGTTCCCCTGGTGTCAATGGGCTTGGCTGCTGTTGGTGCGGAAAGATGGCATTCTGGCGATGCTCTCACCGCCTGTGTGTGCGTGAGCGTGTCTGCAGAGCGCCGAGTGTTTGCTGGACAGGGACAAGTGCACACACACAGAGACACAGTCATACAGCCAGTCACACAGCATTACACTCGCACAGCCACTCAGAGTCACAGTCATAGTGTCACACAGACCCAGTCACACACACACAGTTATACACACAGGATCATACACATACAGGCACACAAAGAGAGTCTCACAAACATACACCCCACCTCACACACACACCAGCACATGCAGCATCACTGGATTAGTGAAAGTCCCAGGCAGTACTGACCTTACCAAGTCTTGTTCAAATATTTAAAAGTACATTTTTTCCTGGCTTTTCTTTCCACAAAATAGTCCTGGGACTATTTTCTCTGTTGCCTTATGGCATTGGCTTTCTGAAGAAGGCAGGCCAAAGAGAAAGCAATCTGTTGCATTTTCATCAGAATTGATCAGGCCCATCTGTTTGTC